CGGCGTGATCGAACTCGAGTGCGAGCGCGGACAATAAAATTTACGACGAGCTTTTAGCCCCTGAGCTACCATGGCTCATATATACTCTTCAAATCTTTAGGATTTACTTTATTCAAGCAATAATCTATAAAATCTTGCAATGACCGACTTCGACCTTCGACGTTGCTCGCAGTATTGTGTCGTAAAAATTATTATCATCCGCAATTAAACCAGCCAATACGGATTTTCTAGAGATTTAGGTATGTTTACGTAGAAGTATGTTTTACTAGCGTCTAAAAATCAAGAATCCAACCTTTTGTCGCATGAAATCGTATCTAACCATCATATTGAACACATAAATGATATAAAAAGCACATTGTCAGAAAAATAAATGCTTGTTGAACTTACTTTTTTATTGTCGTTTGACATAAAAATTAACATTAAAAATTAAAATAATTTTTTTTATAGGATAGGGTGACAAACGAGCACACAGTCCACCTGATGGTAAGTGGTTGCTGCGGTCCATAGACATCCACATCTATCCTCGATTACAAATCATAATGCAGATGCGTTGTCACCCGTGAGGACGAAGACGGAATGCCTCGTTTCGAGTAAAAAGGGTCTCCGGTTCTCTACACTCGCCATACGAAACACAGCAGCATTAAGCTACTATTTCACGGTGGTATTCTGTGAGAGCGTGGCCGGTCGAGCCGACCCGTTCGTGCTACAACTATACTACTAATATAACTGCAGCATGGCTCTACCACGTATAAAATTAACATGAGATTTTGATTTACCAAAAGTTTTAATGAAAATTGGTTGACTAAACACCGGCCGTTGGCTCTGTTGTCAACTTTAGCCCTACTGTGCTGCCTACTGTTATTTAATACTCTGCTAGATAAGTTAAATTACATTTCTAAAGTATCCTACCGTACTTACACTTTCAGATATTATCAATTTGTCTTTTTCCCGATTCCAATTCAGTTTCCCATAATCCAAAGATAAAAAGTTAAAGTATAATTTCATATGTACAATCGCTTTCTTCAAATTTCCAGCCCGAAATAAAACAATGACGTATCAGGTATCGCTGTGTAGAGTCGGGTCACGTACCTGGGCGCGAGCTGGGCGCCGATTGCGCGGCTTTACTTCGTCAGCGTCGGATCAAACGCCGAAGATAAATGTCGATAGGTACTTAGAAATCCCCGACGAGATTTTAAACGGTCGTGGATGGAGATGAATACGTAAAATGCTCTTTTTATTTATAGAGAAATATGTATTTTCCGTGGCATACAGATAATTCGATTATCCAGATAAATTGTGATGACACTATGAATTGATTTTTCATTTAGGGAATGTTAAATGTTAGGCCAAACTTTACATATAATATATTTATTAAATTTCACCGAAGAGGATTACATATTTTTGTTGTACATATTATGTATTTTTTCTATCGTTTGTCAGAAGACCCATAACATTAACAATAATTAATACTTTCAGGCAGAAATTTCGCCATACTTCAGTGTGCGAAAATCAATCTGCAAAAGCACTACGTCAATCATAAAATTTATATAAACTCTGATAGTCAAGCAGCACTGCTGGCACTGAGGCCAAACTTAGTGAACTCGAAGCTAGTTGGGGACCGCGTGAACCGTCTAAACGCCCTGGGATGTAACAACAGGGTCGTCTTAAGATGGGTTCCGGGTCACGCGGGTATTGTAGGCAATGAACTTGCCGACGAACTCGCACGGCAGGGCTCCAATAGCATACAATTTGGACCTAAACTATTTTGTGGAATCTCAAAAAGCCTAGCCCGATTGATCCATTAAATTCTTTATCACAATAAATCACTTAAGATCTGGTCTGACATACCAGGCTTAAACTATTCTAAAACCTTAATCTGGGCTTTTGATCGTTAATTCGCTTGAGAAGCTCTGGGATTAAGTAAAAATAAATTGCGTATTCTGGCAAGAGCCCTAACTGGACACCGTTGTCTTAAAAAGCACATGTCCATCTTGGGACTGAGCAACTCAAGGATGTGCCGGTTCTGTTTCCTGACGGAAGAAACGCTTCTGCACATCCTAACTTATTGCGGACCCTTAATGCGCAAACGTAACACTCATCTAGGGAACTATTTATTCCGCCCAGAAGAAGTGAAATTGATCACAGCTAAGCAACTCATTATATTAATTGAATACATAGGGCTTAGCCGTGAAGTCTGGCCTGAATGCTCGCACATAATTAAAAAAATAATACTTAATTTTATTGTATCATGCAAGCAGTTATAAACATAAATAATAACTAATCATTAAATAAAAATTAAAAGGTGAATATAAATTTTAATTTAAATCCATTCGGTGAACGCAAATAAAACATAATATTATCAAGTCCTTTCCATCCAGCCCTTTACAAGTGGACTTGTAAAGAGCTAGGCTGTAATGGTAATCACCATGATGATCATAAATGTAACATGTGCTTGTTTTGTATCAATTACCATTTTCAATTATAATCAAAATACTTAATTTTAGTTACATTAACCAGAGATGTCTATCATCCCATATAGTAAAATAAATATAAAACTAAAAACATCACGAACGGAATACGTGTAAAATAGAAATTAGGCGCCATCTTTAAATAACTGTGCTCTGGCCATGCAAACGCCCTCAAAACAATGTGTTTTTGGCGTACGACGTCAGTTCCCAACAACTCTACCAACTAATGACGTTCATGTAAAGTATAATTAATTATTAGGCGTAGCACCCGTAAGCCTTATTTTTATCTACACAACGAATATTTTACGGTGAACAGTTCTGATTTAATGTAAACTATGCCTCCCACTCTAACGCTAGCGTGTAAACATGATATACTTACTCCATTGTAAGCACGCAAACAAAGTCTCGTCACCGACATACTGTATGCACTGTGTTGAATTTTCTAGTATGATATACAACATAATAAAGCTAAATTCAATATTTTCAGTCAAGTAACCAAAATATAAATTTAATTTAGCAGAAGTATTACAAACAATACTAATAATGTAACTAGTCTGGCCATAATAATGTTACAATTTAATAAATTTTATTTTTTATTTTTGATAAAATATTTTTCTATATTAATTTATGTACCTTCGGTCGATTTTCCGCGGTTACTCATATTGTTTTCCACCGTGATTGTAAATTACGTTAACTATGGGTTGTTTAAGAAAATAGATATTGCTTTGCACATTATTGGGTAAGTAATTTTAACTCCGCCTCAAAATCTGGGCATATGCTGTATATTTGCTTATCGCATCATCCACAGGTGTACAATTCCTCCGTCAAAGACTATAAAAGATATGGGCGACCCCGTTGTATTTGAACCAGACTTATAGGATTAAGATCATATAGGATTTCGTGGAATTCAGGGTATGGACGCTGTCAAAGCCTGATTTCGACAAAATCCTTTAAGGAACTAAAAAAATTATCGCGTGAAACAAAGATTCCTGCAAGGACCATGTTGTAGCTAGTTTGTGGGTGTTATGTTTATGTATGAGTATAGTAATGCCCTAACTCAGTTCTGGCAGTTTAAGAAAGTAGACTGATATAAAGGACCCAGAAATGTGCTCTTTACGGATTTAAAAGAAAATACGATAATATAGAGCATTTTAATAAGCGTAGTGCCTGGCAACTAGGTATGCCTAGTAATTAATGGTAAGAATAGTTCGACGAGGTCATCATCAATCATTTTTAGTGCGTGTATAAACAACCAAATCCTGACTCAAGAACAATGTTTCGAGACTTCATAAGAGTTTAAGACTGGTACTCGTTCAATTCAAATCTGAACTCGGACTACAAATTGTGGTCAGTTAGTAAAGAACACGAAACATAGAAGTTTTTAGAGCATGCGGTGACTAAATACTCTATGGAGATAGTGCGTCATTCGATAGATTTGTGTCCAAAAAAAAAAGGCCAGTATCAAACCCAAAAGCGGTTACATTGAACAAAATTGTTTTTTATAGAATCAGGCCGTTACTTTGCGGAAAATGGAAATCCATTACATTAAAAATTATAAAAATTAATAAGCTAAGATCCGCGCAAGGGCGAGAGGGATGTGGATTAGGCGGATCTTTTGCTAATTAATTTTCAAAATTTTGAAATTTGTTTTCAATAAATTGCTTAAGCTTCGATAAATATACACATAAGTTTTATTATTATTACACTGTTTGTTAAAAAATAATTAAAAAACATATTTTAGTGTGTATTAGAACTTACGGCCATATTAGATGTATCTTTATAAATATTACTTAGTTCTTAAATCATGCTGAAACAGAAAGGCAAGATCATGATCAGTCATGAATACCTCCCCTTGAAACTTTCCACCTTTGTTCAAGATCCCTGTACTGAATATAATATAAACAACTACAGTTTAAAACCTTACAGTTGTGAAATGCCTTTGATGTCCGGTAATGCCGCCCGCGTAGGTATTTACGTGGTAGCGGGTATGCTAGGGTTGTCATGAAAATATGAATAAAATGATTTTGGATATTATAATACTCATTATCATTTATTGACATTATATACATACTACGAATAAAAAACACATTTACAAGTTGTGTACCAAATATTTTCGTGATATTTTTTTATAGATGTTTTCGGATAAACAATTTTATCAACACAAATGCTGGAAACATAGGCATGGTCATCAATTGACTTCAATTTTACTTAGTACTCATATACTATAACAGTAATTCACCATTCTAGATATTATATTTATCGAAATCGGCACTTAAAATCAGTTAAATAAGTACTATAAAACACGCTCGCGACAACCGCATGTATTGTCTGTCAGACAGTGAAGTGCGATAACCTAAGGTTGGCCCGCCCCTGCTCTGCTGTACCCCCACCATTGCTCTGCACAAGTACATTCGTTTACACCTGTAAGGTCTTTAAACTGTGCTAATACAATTTAATTGAACGTACATTGCAATCCAAAAGGTGTAAAGTGCATTATAAATAAGTATATAAACGATACAACTATAAAGCATATTATAATCTGGTGTCCCGTAGTAAGACGGCCGCCTCGTATGACGGTAGACCACTATCTTGTAGCTCTGTACTCTGACAGCGTGGGCAGGGTTCTGTTACCACCTCCTAAAACAGGAAAAAAATATTCTTTAAGATAATATATGTTAGGTCTTCTTCCTCATCTTCAGCCCGTAGAATTTCAATGCTGTTCATGGGCCTCTCCTGTGTAGAGATCGTTATGAAACGATTACATTGCCATCTTTTGGAGGTCGTTGTATTTATATAGAATTTCGGGTAATCGCATCTTACGACACCCACGGGACGAAGGGTGATATAATTTTTTTATAGGATAAGGGTGACAAACGAGCACAGTCCGTCAACCTGTAGTTACTCTGGCCTATAGACATCTAAATCTATCCTCGACCACGAGTCTAAATGCAGTTGCGTTGTCACCCATGAGGACTAGGTTGGAATGCCACATTTCCAGAGACCCTTTTCACTAGAAACGAGGCATTCCATCTTAGTCCTCACGAGTGACAACGCATCTGCATTTTAATTTGTAATCGAGGATAGATGTAGACGTTTATGGCCCGCTGCAACCACTTACCGTCAGGTGGACTGTGTGCTCGTTTATCATCCTATCCTATAAAAAAGGGGTCTACAGATCTCTGCACTGACCATACGAAACACAGCAGCATTAAGCTGCTATTTTACGCTGGTATTATATTAGAGCGTATTACCCGGTATTACCCGGTCAAGCAGACCCATTCGTCCTACAACTATATACTACCAATATAGCTGCAACATGGCTCTATCACTTAAAATATTCTCAATGGTATATCCTCTTACAACGCCACCATACGGCTAAATAAAGTATAGGTTAATTCCAACAAGCTGTAGCTAGTCTGCTTATATGTATGTAACTATTGTAACCCAGTGCTGGACTATATCCCACCTGATGGTAAGTGGTGATGCACCCAAAAGGCAAACTTAGTTTAACAAAAGCATATATTCACTCTTGCTTTGAAGACACCCGCATTGTAATCAGATGGGAAGTCAGATGATATATCTATAACGTTTTCTTTAATTGTCGTTTCGTGTCATCGTTGTGTGTTACGTGACATAATGAAGTCCGTAGTCTCTGGCTACCTCAGACCTTATATCTCATTTGTGTTGTGTGATTTATTTACCTGCAGCGTTTGGCAGGGCTTATGGCCCGAGGCACCATCGACGACAGATTCGTAGGCCGGCGGCGGGCCAGGGAGTTCTTCCTGCACCTGTTGAAAATTAGGATGTAACTAAATTTATACATTATACAGCTTAAGGGAGTTTTTTTTTACTTAAAGGTCGCTTTTTTAGCAGCTCCTCACAGTAAATTTTAACAGTCGACCTGGGTATTTTACATCGGGCTTAAATGAGATGGTATACGGAAAATAATTTTTAATCAGTAATCAATCTTTACCATATCGATAATGAGAACATTATGAAACTTTGATCCGGTTGAACAATAAAGAATCTCCTATCTACTATTTACAAACAAATATTCACCTTGATTGTTGATTTAAAAATGAAAATCGTTAACCTAATACATATTAAGTCTGTTGCTTTAACAAGAATTAAGGGCTTCAATTTTATAATGCCTTTATAACTTACTAGCTGGTTTGACAGACGTTGTTCGACCCATTTCGATAAAAGGTCTGACAAGTTTCATTCTGATTTAACCCCGGACTTTTTAGTATCAATATAAAATTTGTTCATAACTCGATCACAACTACAAAGCGTGGTTTTTCGACAGTGTCGGGCTTAAACTATGAAATAAGAATAAGTAATAAGAAATCTAACTTGAGAAGTCCCTTGGCCGTGGCGTCACAGACTTCGCACCATGTAACATAAAATTTTTGTTCGCATATTTCCACGGGACTTCTTTCTTACCACATATTTTAAATTAAACCTGAGAAAATTGTAAACTACTTTTTACAATACGGCTGTTTTGGTGAACTAAACCAACATACATGGTGAATATGAGTAATTCTGATCCATGATATATATATATATATATATATATATATAATATAGTACATATATAATTCTTCTGTCTCTCTCTTACTTCTCTTAAAATAAAATAGTAAAAAAATAATAATAATCTAACAAAATATGGTGGGACAAATATATTTAAACTATTAATTATTACTAAATGATGTAATGCACGTAAACAGCAGTCAAATTAGCTGCTGGGCAAATGTAGTCTACAACATTGCTGCAGATAGGGACAATTCACTCTGTCACCCATCATTTTAAGAATGCCATTGGGGCAATACGAGTAAGGAAATCGTTAATCAATATTCGCAAGTTATTTCACGATAATTAGTACATACTTATGTATAGAACAGTTCTAATTTTTGCTTATTTGTAACTTGATTTGAAATGTAATCTAGTTGTATTTCTGTATCTGATGTTGTATCTGTAACAAACATATTTGATGATTTTGAAATTAAAAATTTTCGTATAATCGTAATGTTCCCAAGTAAAAAACCCCTGTTTTATTGAATTAAGCAAATTCATAATGTCCGAGACTTCTTCCTTTTATTGAATCACAATTGACGTTCATTGGACCGGTGAGGATACGATAAAAGCATTATTGAATTTTTGCAATTTTATATTGAGTCTTAATCAATTACTTAGGGAGGGATATATCTTCCCTTCAGGTTTGGATAGAAGATCACTTTAATGAAAATAGATTTAATATTCCTCTTTGAGACGTTAACAATGCAAATTCCTTAGAAGGCGATACCAAAAATAATGTTCGATAATAATTAATCGTGATAATTACAGTGTTAGTGGTGGTGTAAGAATATCCGCTGCCCCATATATATCCCATGTTTAAGACGTCCTAATTTCAATAGAGAAGATGGATTTGTGCTGCCATCTGCTTGGGATCCTATCATCATCATCATCATTACAGCCCTTCACAAGTCCACTGCTGAACATAGGCCTCCCCCAAGTAACGCCACAAAGCACGGTCCTGAGCCACCTGCATCCATCGACTTCCTGCATGTCTTAACAGGTCGTCACTCCATCTAGTGGGGGGGGTGTCGCCCTACACTACGCCTACCGGTACGAGGCTGCTGCCACTCGAGAACCTTTCTTCCCATCGGTTATCGGTTCTTCGAGCTATATGGCCGGCCCATTGCCACTTCAGCTTACTAATCCGTTGGGCTATGTCGGTCACTCTGGTTTTACTGCGGATATCCTCATTTTGATGTCGGATATCCTCATTGGGATCCTATAATTAACAAAATTAAATCCAAACCCAAGTATACCACTGCAATACTTCAAGATACTGTAATCTCGTTCTGCGTAGATCGGACCAGAAAATAATATTCACAAACTGAAGGTAGCGGGGCTAACTATGACATTGGCACGTCAAACCTCTCAGTCCCCCCCCCCAGTGCCCATGGGTGCTATAAACCTGTAAAGCACCCGAAACATCGGGAATTAAAGATAAGTTAATTAAACGCGATGAAATTTAGTTTTTTAATTAATTGTTAATTAAATTAAAATTTAAGAAATCAATATATGAACCTGTAACGGTAACGGTAAAATTAATCGCTTGAGTTATTTTACGTTTACATCTAAAATCATACGTGTATAAAGTATAAAAATTATATTAGACGTACGTTATTTGTTTTATAACTTTAGAACTTTATAGTTATAAAAATATTAATATAATTTGCATACCGCATTGTTTTATTAATTCATTACAATTATAAACTAACTTCATACATAGAATATATTACCCGCTTAAATAAGATAATTCAAATTTATAGAAGTAAACATTTCCAAACAACGGATAAAGATCACAACTCTACTTTATACAATTATTGCCTGGATTCAAGTGTCAAAACACAAACAATAGAAGTCAAACTACAACTTAACCACGATATAATTATACGTGTACTGAAAATTGTCTTACCCTTTTTTAGTATTTACTGTAAAAAAGAGAAATAAAACTATTATATCTTTATTCTTAAATAACTGTGCCTTACATGTGCAAAATCATGTAGTATGTGCATTACCGTGGTATTATAAAGTGGACCCTTTTACTGGTAACGAATAAATAAAGAGTACATTTTAGCAATGACGTGGTTGCGCGAGAGAAAATCCATCACCCCATTTTACCCAGTAGGATTCCTAAAATGCAACTATTAGGAAAGCTAGAAAAATGTTATGCCTTTTAAATAATACTAGTTTTTACGGATTTTATCGCGTATATTTAACTTTTTAAATACCCGACGTTTCGAGCACTTTACAGCACCCATGGTCACGGGGGAGACTGAGATGTTCAACGTCTAGATGTCATAGTTAACCGCGGTAAATGTTATGCCTACCGACAGATAGCTGTATAACTATCTCGTTAAACCCAGTATAAAAATACCCAGTCTGGCAACTGGTAGCAGACGTCTGCTACTGCGATCGTCAATTCGCCTGTACGGCGCTGAGGTGCGTCCAGCGGTAGACTTATTAGTGGCCAGAAAATAAAAAGAAGAATAGCGAGTTTAACTAACAGTTTAACCAATATGCCATCTTAGAGTCACACCGTTACTGAAATTTGAATCTTAATCGAGAATGGATATTGTAACCACCAAATAGTAGGAACGTGCTCTAAATGTTTAGCGTATTTCACTTAAAAAAATAAGTACTTTGTCATATTTTTTGAGTGAAAAAGTAATATTTCAACGTCATTTTATATTCTATCACATTCAGTTTAACATTCACTAAGTTTAAGTACTATGTAAGTTAAAAAGACTTACATATTGAGGGAGTTCTATATAAACATTCCTAAAATTTGTATATACGCTTTTACGTGTTGTTGTTGTTTATACGTTGCAATTTATACTTATAATACATAAAAGTTATTGTTGTGTTCATAGTTTCTGGAGTTTCGAATAGTCTTGAATCTTGTTAAAATATGGTAGATTAAATGATGTCTTATAATTTTAACACTATCCTTTTTTCATTCCAGATGTACAAAAACCGAGAAAAATCGTAGCGAGGCCTAACCAAGATTTTAATTGTAATGGTAAGTAAAAGTTTAACTGCGGACAGGACACGACTTTCTCTTACAGCTGCCTCTCAGATTTATTCAATAGGTTTTCTAAAAAAATAGTTTTGAATTAGATGCTTTTAAAAGGAAATTCTCACTGAAATCATCTTGTCTTTGAACAAAGGGTCTATATAATAATAAATCGTTTGCTTGACCCCCGAATGCCCACAGCTCTCGTCTTATTTTATTATGGGAGATATATTACTGTATTGTAATTACTTTAAGTAGAATAAATGCTGTAGAAATGCGGTCTTTAAGGAGTATGCTAGGGTTGAATCTGAATGACAGGGTGAGAAATTGCATGATAAGAGATAAATGTGGTATGCAAGATGATGTTGTGACCAGGATTAAGAAAGGAATGCTTCGGTGGTTTGGTCATGTAGAAAGAATGAATGAGGAAAGAGTGTCAAAGCAAATTTATATGGCAGATGTGAACGGCCGAGTCGGGAAGGGACGCCCTAGAAAAAAGTTTATCGACCAAATTGGCGATATTTTGAAAAGGGGTCACGTTAGAAGTACCCTTAACCGACGAGCATGTATGCGTAGGTATATGGATGTAAAGGAGGCGAAAGAGGTATGTCAGGATCGTGCCAAATGGAAGTCCGTAGTCTCTGCCTACCCCTCTGGGTGACAGGCGTGAGTGTTTATGTTATATTTATGTAATTACTTTCTCGTGTGCCGAATGGAAGTCCGTTGTCTCTGTCTACTTCTCTGGGTGACTGGTGTGAATGTTTATGTTATGTTATATACTATCGATAGATTCTAAAACAGAACGACACTTTCCTATTTTTGTGTAGTCGCCTAATATAGATAAAGACTAATTTCATACATTACTCACTTATTAAATTTTACTAGGATTTGAACATCGGACAGTGCTGTACTTTGTTAAGCTCCGCCGGTAAATTACAATCATAGTGCATGAAATTGGCTTTATTTAATTTTGTTAATATATAACTTTTTATAATTAATATTTGACTATGAAAATATTTCCTTTTTTTATTAAACACCACAAAATGTATTTCCTTGGTGCCTCTCTTTACCACGTGATAGATAAATAAAGAGGCACATTAAGTTTCGAAGGCCACCGAAACAACAGACTGTAACGGATAGACTGAAATACGACGTTCCAACTGAACAATGAAGGAACATATTACCCCGTGGAAAATGTCAGTG